CTGAAGAGCAATGACATCAGGCTAGAGACTAAGGTGCACCTGATCCAGGCTATAGTCTTTGCAATTACGTGCTATGCATTGGAGAGTTGGACAGTGAATAGGGGTTATAGAAAGAGAATTGATGCCTTTGAGCTGTGGTCCTGGAAAAAAGTGTTGAATATACCATGGACTGCTAGGAGAACAAACAGGTTTGTCCTGGAAAGGGTGAAGCCAGAATGCTCCTTGGAATCAAGGATTCTGAAGCTTTGTCTGACATACTTTGGGCATGTTACAAGGAGGGACTGGTCCTTGGAGAGGGACATCATGTTTGGCAGAGTGGAGGGGCGGCGCAGGAGAGGAAGACCCTCAATGAGATGGATCTATTCTGTGAGTGGAGTGGTGGGAATGAATGTGTTTGAGACGGCGAGGTTGGCACAGGATAGAACGGCGTTTAGGGCTCTTGTACATAGGGTCGCTATGAGTCGCAAATGACTTGATGGCACATAACAACAACAACAGATTAGTGAAAGTTCTATGAGCTGGAAATATTTGATCAAATAGTTCAACTTCCCTAGAATTAGATTGTATTGTTTCACTTATAGTGCACCGAGCACATGTGACCATCATTTTAATCCAGCTCTTTGGTAGAGAGCTCTATAGCTGTATTTCATAACCACGTTTGAAAAACAGCTCCAACTATCAGGTTTGGAGTTGTCAATATTCCTTGAACTGTGGCCTGAAGATTAATAAAATTTGATCTGATAGTGAGTGCTCAGTCATACGTGAATTGCAAAGGCTAGGAGCACAGCTACAGAGGTGATTTGAGATTTTTGTTGCTAAACAGATAATTTAAAATGTTTAATTAATGTTAAAATGTAGTCATATATTTAAAAGGCAAAAAAAAAACCAACAACCCACTGAAATTAGATTTCGTTGAGCATCGGTGGTTAGATAGAACATGTAACTAAATATTGGTGGTTCATTAGCACATGCTTTGAATCCACCAGCTGCTCTATAGGAGAAAAGTTAGGCAATCTCTTCCTGTGTACTTTACTGCCTCTGAAAGCCTGTTACAGGGTTCAACTAGGCGTTGGTTCTGACTCAACAGTATGTACGACAACAGTATAGCCAAATAGTGCTTCAACATATAATCGATATGAAAATTAAGGAGATATTTTACATCCTTTTTTCCTCCTGTTTTCAAAATCCGTTGTGAATTGAAGCTCACAGCTTATCTAAATTCAGACTAGTTATGCTTCAAATGATCAGTACTCACCCATGTTGATGTGGTTATGTGCTGGTGACTGTGACTCACAGAGACCCTATGAACAAGTGTGAATGTGGCCCTGTCTTCTCCCGTCCTCATTAGCTAGTGTCTTTTGGACTAGACAGGACAGCTCTCTAGTGCTCCACTAACAAGCTACTTCAGTCACTCCACTTGTAAGTTAAGTAGTCTCTGCTTCATTGCAAAATGGACTTCTATTGAAAATATATAAAAAGGTGAAGTGTGAGGTTAAACAAGTTAACAGAGGACAATTCTGGTAAGTAGTAAGTGCTCAGCAACTTCTTAAGGAATGGTGAGTCATCGAAGAATCACTTTCTCTCTTTTACTTTACATTTTAGTTGGTAGACTTAAGTCTTAATGTCTTTCCTTCAATTTTGAACAATTTCTGGTCAATCATGTAAATTAAAACCAAAGGTTAACAAATAAAGTTACAGAATATTGTTAGAGACGATTGATGGATTGGTCCGTTTAGGAGTTTAGAGCCTTCAAGTGTCATACATTACACAAGTATCAAGGTGGAGAAGTGGGAGTTGCAGTTTACAGTCTAAATGAAAAGCTCATTAAAAAGGATTCAAAGAAGCCGACACAGAACAGGCTGGGAAACAGTAAGATGATCATCTCCTGATCATCAACAGGCCAAACACCATGCTACATACGTCTCATCGTAATTTATTTCAAGTAACAAGGGCACACAAACAGGCAAAATTCTGCAAAACGAATATGATCATCCTTATAATACAAATAAGAAAACATAAGCTCAGAGAAACTGGACAATTTGTTAAAATTGGTAACTATTAGCTCACTCTGATAACCTCAGCTTTATGTGATGTGGGCTGGGGTGTTGGGGCTGTACCAGCCATACTCTATAGAAGCTTACACTCATTATCTATGAGTTAAAGCATCAGCATTGGAAGTGCATTAAAGGGAACCACTTTTCTACTCTAACTACTCGAATTTATTTCTGGGTAATAACTAGTCAACACCATAGTCACAGATTTGTTCTTTCATTTGATAAAGCAAGACAGCTGGATTGAGTCACAAGCAATTAAAAAAAATTCTAGTTTTTAAGAAACTGATAGTTCTTTGGGAAGTATGATCCTGTAGGTAACAGCCAATGGAATTTAAGAGGAAAAGGACTATTTTGGTGCAGTGGTATGGATGAAAAAAAAGAAAAATAGAGAATTGTTGCTCTTCAAACTGCTGGCCTCCAAAGTGCACGTGATTCTTGTTTTATCTGGCGGGCTGAGCAACCATCCAAATTATGGGGCTTCAGGGGATACTGTCTAGACCAGCTCTCTTGGCTCTGGGGTTGGCAGTACATAGAACCAGAAAGCCAAAGCATGATCCAAACATCTCTGCATTTTTTTTCTGGTACACAATCAAGCTGAATGGAAACGAAATTTCAAACAATCACCAAATAGCAATAAAAAGGAGAAGGATGACTGCACAGGACTCACTACAGGCCTTATTGGATATGTCCTGGCTCTTGAGGTAGAAAGCATGGCATTTATGAAGTGAGTATCCTTAAGAAAACAACTAGCAACCAATCTTAAAGTTGGAATGATTCTCCACCCCTAGGATTGATGTAATTGTATTAGAGGTGTTTTCTAGCTTCAGTGATGGTATCAGGAGAGGAAAAACACATCAACATATAATTGAAATAATTTATTTATCACTAGAGCACCACAAAACAAACATACAGGGTGTTAAAATACAACATCATCAAAATACAAAACAGCTATTCTTATAGTCTTACAATTATTCTTACAGTTGATTTTTTTAACATGCTAATCATAAAATTGTATTGCTGTTTAACACATAAAAACTGCTGCCCTGCCCCATCACATACTAACTCCCCCCCCCCACCTCCCTTCCCACTCATGGTAACATTTACTTAAGGGAAATAAAGACCTTATAAGAACCCCGAATTTATTTTTTTTTTAAAAAGTCAAGAGATCTTAAAATAGAGCATTTAAAATATTATCAGTGCATTCTTGAGGAAAGAAAGTAATACAAAACAAAATTCTATCTTATCTGAGAAAAAAAAAATACCTGCAGAAATAAAAGTGTTCTACATGAAATTAATGGGAAAGTGAATACGGGAGAACATGGACCCCCATCCAAATCCAGGTTTGAGTTACATCTAACACAAGGATTATTCACTATGGTGGCAACTCTTCTTTTGATTTTCCAGTTTTCAAATTTGTAGATCCAATTATTCATTTTAATGAATGGTCACAAACATTTTTCAAAAAGAAAAGCAAGAAGTATCCCATATTATACAACTTCATTTTGGGTTTACCCCCTCACTTCATTTTGGGTCCACCTCTCAGTGCTGTTCTTTTGGTGAAACCAGAAATACCGCATTGTTTTGGCATAGCCCAAAGGGAGTTTCTATGTTAACTTAAAAGTCACACTTCTGTGGCAGTTTGGGTCCACCAAGCAGCTCTGGGGGGGAAAAGGATGATCAGTTTCCTCCCATGCTATTTACAGCCTAAGAAATCTGCTGGAGGGTCAGCTATGAGTTGGTTCAGACTCAGAGCAATGAGTAAGTGAGTGTAAAGCTAAATAAATGACTTACCTGATGACTTGACATAGCCTACAAATCAAAACATAACAACACTGCAGTGATGTGGCCAAGTATTAGATAAAGCAAGGTAAAGTTAGCCTCCAAACGAACTCTCACTCATTGGAAAGAGAGAATTCTTTAATAGTGAGAGAAGTTGACATATCATTTCAACCTTCAAAATACATCTACTAAAAACCTCAACAATGAAATAAAATGAATGACTTCTGCTGACCTCACTTTTTCCCCTTTAAAAAAATTATTTAAAATCATATTATTACCCCCACCCCCCCGAACACTGAAAATCTGATTAAAAGAAAAGATTTTTGGTATGAACTGTCTACTCTCCCATAATCACAGAATTCTGTGAAACTACATATCAAACCAAATTAGAGGAATCTTTAACTGTAAGATTCTCAATGCCATACAGATCCTTGAGTTTTTGGCTAAAATTAAAAGTTTTTCTCTTCTATCTATGCAAATATAAGGTTCTCCATTCTCCTAAAACAAAAGTTCTTAACATTGGAATTGCTTAGTAAAAATGTTTGTAAGATGAAGGAAGACCACTGGACTTGAAAATATCTTTTTTTTGTTGTAAAAAAATAAACACCAAAACCCAAACACATCAACTCAGGTAGCTTATGTGATGATAATGCACAATACAGAAAGCACAACTTGAGCAAATACTATGAAACATGTACTTGTAGTGCAAGTCAAAATATAGGAGTTTTATTCCAAAGTCTCAAACAGCTGAAGGAAACACACGGTTCTGAGTGATCATTAAAAAAGAGAAAAAGAGCCCAAATTGAAGTCCAGTCTAATTCTATTATTACAGAATATAAAAAATACGGTGCAAATTTGTAAATTTACAAAGTAGTTAATCTTTTGATTTAATAGTTTGTAAAAGTGATCTACAAGTGTACTTCCAATTATGTTGGCTTCTGTACCCATCCATCCATTGCAATGATACTGGTATGGTGACATACACTCCTGAATGAAGAAAGAATAAAAACCACAGCACAGCTATATAGCAGTACTCTCAGGTCTAACGTTTGGCCAAGATATGTCAAAACATTTTATCATTTCATCAGTTGACTAATCTAGTTGACAAAGAACCATTTACATTGAGAATGGGGCGGGGGGGGGGTGGATATCTTACAGACTTATTCAGACTGAAAGTTTCCTTTATTAACAGGCTTTTCGGTATTTGACCTTACAAGAAGTTTCCTTAGGCAGCTGGTACATAGTATGTGCTTTCAGAGTCTTCATCCTAATGCAGACTTGCTTGGTCAATAAACTCTCTTGAGTTTTCATCACATTAACATGACCTCTTTTTTTTTCTCCCCTTGGCTTGGTTGAGTTCAAGTTCCTTAAGCCATCCATGAGTTTGGCAAAGCATTTGGTCTCCACTTTATACACCTGTTTTGTTTTCCAAGGGTAATGAAATGTTCATTATATAGCAACACACAATAAATAACTCATTGTTAACTCTAAGAGTAAGAATGGGAAGGGTGCCTATTGCATAGCAATACAGACCAATCAAGTGAGGCATGCGATAGGATTGGTACGTACAGCAACTCCACTTACTGGGATTTTCCTGTTTTTATTTTTTTTTTCTTTCACATAATTAACACTAACAAATTCTTCCAGTGTTTATTTTTTTTTCCTTAAAAAATAGCGCAAACAAAAAACAAAAGGTTTTGCTTCTTGTTTTTTTCTCACTTACAGAGTTGGTGAATGTAGAATAAGGCCTTCAACTTGTTTTGTTTTTGTTTCAGATGCCAGTTGTAACAAACAAAACACAAACTTGCAAAGTGTTTGAACTAGTACCGCTTTTTTTTCCCCCAAATTTTTTTAACACTGATGAACCAAGGCTCTCATATTTTCTGGTTACAGCATCATCGCCGCCACTATCATCGTCATCATCATTTGATTCTTGTCCTGCTACTCCTACAAGAATTTTAGCTGCACTTGCAGGACTTCACGATCATATTCGACAGCTGTTCAATCTTGGGTGTTTTACCAATATAGTAAAGAATGGTCAGCGGTTCTAAATCCTGTGACACACAGCAAGGAGATGCAGACGCTTCAGGATTTATGGTATTGTATAAACTGAGAACCTGGAAAGGGAGAAGAGAGACATGGAAGAGAAATTTAAAAAAAGGGGGAAAGAAAGCAATTATTTAAAAAATAATAATCTGCATTGCCCTTTTATCATCCTTAGTTGTTGTTGTTGTTGTTGTTGTTGTTGTTATGTGCCATCAAGTCATTTGTGACTCATAGCGACCCTGTTACAACAGCCCTGGACCCTGTTCTGTACTGTGCCAACCTTATTGTCTCTGTCACACCTACCCCCATTACCCTAGTCACTGAGTCAATCCATCTCCTTAAGGGTCTTCCTTTCTTGCAGTGTCCCTCCACCCTCCCAAGCATGATGTCCCTCTCCAAGGACTGGTCCCTCCTTGCAACTTGCCCAAAGTATGTCGGACGAAGCCTCAGAATCTTTGCCTTGAAGGAGCAGCCTAGTTTCACCCTCTCCAGGATGAACCTGTTTGTTATAATCCCTAGTACTGTGTGATAGGTTGATACAGTATCTGAGGCAATGGGGGTTGATATGTCGGAGTTAGTGAGACTGGCTCAGGACAGGGAATGGTTCAGAGTTGCTGTACATAGGGTTGCTATACATTGCAGATGACTCAACAGCACATAACAACAATAACATACTGTATTGGCTGGTTTTTTTTAAGACTCTTGTTTAGAGTCTTGACAAGACCAGACCTTGGGGAGGGCCTTTGTATTTAAAGTTGGTTGTTATTATATTTTGGAGGAAAATTCTTCTTGATGATACAGAATTCTTCTGTCAATACGCTGTACTGAGGTAACCTGAGGTTGCTGTGATGCTGCACTTTGTGCCATTGTGGTGTCAAATGCCATAATTGTTACCCATGGTGGACAGTGTTTGGTGGAGCTCCCAGTGAACATAGATTTGGAAGCAGGAGTGGCATCCATTTCCTAAGCAGTATGCCTCCGGAAACTCTATACTAAATGTCTATAGTTATAAAAAGGCTTCAGACTTTTGTTTGCAGGGTCACTATGAGTTGTGCTCAACTAAATGCAATCAACAACAACAACAGTACGGTATACCAAATCCACACCAAATTTGTTGCCATTCAGTCAATTCTAACTCATGGTAACTCCAGGTATTACCAGGAGAAACCATCCCACCGTGTTTTCATGGCAGGAGTATATGAAATCAGGCTGACAGGCCTGTATTCTGTGGTGCTGCTGGTGAGTTTATAATTGAGCCCACCAAATGACCTCATGGCACTGAATATGCAATATGAATAGTTCTTGGTTTAAAATTGCATTCCTTAATTCCAAATTAAAGTAAATGTGAAGCTGTGTCTAGCAAGCAGTGAATTCACCATTTCCTCATTAAAGCCCTTTCTTGTTCATTTCAAAAGAAAGATCCTTCAAGAGCCAGATTGGACAAAGTTCAACTGATTTCCAAAGTTTTCCTAAAAGCCTTGACTCTGTTCATTGTTTTGCTCTATAACATTCCCCAGTCCATCACAATTATTTGATCCTCTCATTTTCTTGCTTTTGTTTCTACACTGCTTTACAACTTATTAATGCATAAGCATACATTTGCAACTCACTTAATGATTATCTTCTTATCCAGTATTTTGAATTTATGACAACAGTAAAAATTCTGCTTTCCAGCTATTTTGCACATGTTTGGAAGTAACAAATGCCAAGGTGTGAGATGAGAGAAATGCTGGCTGTGATGGTCAAGGTTATGTGTCAGCTTGATGAGGCCAAGATTCTCAGTCATTTGGCAATTATTTAATGATATAATTTGGCAGTAATGAAATGATATCATCACTTTGTCTGATGTGGTCATCCTCTATTTTTGCACATCACCATTTCCCCCATAATGATATGGTATTTGGGTCCTAATTGGAGTCTAGTATAATGTTTGCTGTGGACTCTAATTCAGTAAGTGTGGAGTGGATGTATATTTTTATAACACATTGAAACTAAGAGTTCCTTTGAGGTCAAAGTCTTTATTATAGAGTATTTTTATCTTGGAGTCTAGTAAATCTTATCCAGAAAAAAATAAGATCTGTGCTAGATGAGGTAATGAGCATATAGGTCAACAGAAGAATACAAATTTTAACTAAAGTTCCTATTAGAGCTTTAGTTTACACATGGGTGTAGAAACAGCCACCTGTCTGCAATGTAGAATTTTTCTATATTAATTGTCCTCTTAAGCCAGTTCATGTCATCTAAATTTTCATTTTAAAAAATAGATCAAAGTTTTTTCTTCATCTATATTTGCTTCATAAGTGTAGCAACACTGACTATTAAGTGGCAACACAAGCAGTCTACATTCCTAATCGCTCATATTTGCTTAAAACAATGTCAGTAATAATAAGTCCGCCCTTTAGCCTTCCATCTGGTGAAAGGTAGGGACTAAGTTAGATGAGTAGATAACTGGTGTTCCGTGAGGTGCAGACAGAGATCTACAGCTAGTCCTGTACCTTTAGTTCCATATTCTATCAAAGGAATGGTGACTTTTGCCAGTGGAAGTATGGAGGTTACCCACTGATGATACAGAGACATTTCCAAGGATGCCATTAATGTGTTAGTCAAACAGCAAAGTGCGCTTTTCCTCGAAATTCACTGCAATTTTTTTAGCTTAAGACAGAATATCTGTTCAGCACAGCAACACTGACTACTTTATTAAACTACCTCTGCCTTTTTGGGGAACTGTCCAAACCACATATTTGTGACCATGACAGTTATTCTTCCTCTCTCCTTGAAAAACAAGCATGGTCTCAGCCTTCACACACTCCCTCTGTGTATCATGGAGTAGAATTAGGTTTCTACTTGGCAACTGGGCCCTGCCCACATTACAGCTACTGCTGCCGCTGCCCAGATGAGGCAGCCCTGCCAGAGAGCCCAGACAAAGGGACAGGCATGAGCAAGCGCCTCTCACATGGCCAAGCACGTGGTCAGCTCACAGTGCCAAAATCCACAGGGGAGCTGGGAAAACAGCTGAAGGAAGAGGAGCCATATTTGTCAGTTTAAAGTCCAGCATATGTAGGCAGGTATAAATAAACATCCTTCACATTTCATGAACACATGATTTTTCATATGAATAAAAGAGGAATTTTAGAATACAGGTTGTCCAAAATAAATGATAACCCCCAATCTCCTGGATTTGGCTGACGGTATTATGTGATCTTTCTGGCAGCAGATTCATTTTCCTATCCTGCAGTGAAAGCAAATTTTCTAATGCCTCTCTAATAGGGAGATTTACAGAGGTATAAAGAGCAGAACAGAAACCCTAATGTAAGGCCACATTTCACAAATTAAAGTCAGTGAGGCAGAGAAAATGGACTCAGGCTACATGGCTAGGCCGCCTGCATTCCAGACCTTGATCTCAGGCAAGTGATCTACATTCTTAAGACCCAGTATCTTTAGAAAAGTGAAAGGTTTGGAGAATATAATGTATAGCCTTTCCAACTTGAAATTCTACATTCATATAGACAACATAAACAAATGCAATGAACACATGCCAAATATGTTGTTGTGTGCCTTCAAAATGACTCTGACTTAAAGCAGCCCTATATGACAGAAACAGAAATGTGCCATAGAATTTGATAGGAGAGCTCTGCGGGCCTTGTGGTAAGAAGCTGCACTGCAATCGCAAAGGCATGCAGTTTGAATCCACTAGCTACTCCAGAGGAGAAAGGCAATTTCCTCATATGTGATTCACTGCCTCTGAAAACCTGCTGGAGGGTCAGCTGTGGGTCAGTTCTGACCGGATGGTACTCAATAATTACAACAATCTTTTAGATTGCCAGGTTTTTTCCCCCCTCACAGCAAATGACAGGTTTGAACTTCTGACCTTTAAGTTAGCAGCCAAGTGCTTTTAAAACAGTGTGCCAGCAGCACACTTGTAATACACAGGAACACACACACACACACACACACACACACACACACACACAATTCTGACTCATCGTGACCTAATGTAAGCCAGAGTGACATCCACGGTGACTCAGAGGAAAACTGCTCCATAAGGCTTTCAGTATCTGATCTGTCTAAAGTAGATCACCAGGCATGTCTTCTGAGGGACCTCCGTGTGGATTCAAACTGCCAATTTTTTGGTTAGCAGCCAGCATGTTAGCCATCTACAATGCACAGGGACTCTACTATTGTGGACTCCTTGCTAATTGGGGCTGGGAAACCATAGCAACCAGTCACAGATCTGTCTTAAGAATTAGCTCTCTCTACTGATTCAAGCAACTTGATAAACATCCAGATTCTCACTTATTTTGGGTTTTATTAACAAAACAATAAAGGGATACTGATTTCCAATTGGTGACCTTTGGTGGTTTAGTGGTAAGGAGCTGTGCTGCCCACCCAAAGACAGATGGTTCAAATCTAACAGTTGTTCCTCGAGAGACAGGCAATCTCCTCCCATGCGACTTACGGCTTCTGAAAGCTTGCTAGAGTATCAGCTGTGAGTCAGTTCCCACTCAATGGCATGTAACAATAGCAATAATTTCCAAATTACTGAAGAAAATAATTTCACATATATAATTTTTTGTTCTTCAGATCAATCTCAGGTTTAGCACTGCTATTTAAGGATAATATTTACTATAAACTGGCTCTCTCCTTTTTATATACTAGTAATCCCCTAAATTAAGGCCTCCACTTAAATGTTCTAGTATGCCAATTCTTGACATAGTAAAAATAATTTTATTCAAAATAAGAAGCTACATTTCTTCACATCTTAGCTGTATCTTACACTATGATATATTGATTAACTCATTTCTAACTTTTTTTTCTGGCTACCTACTTATGATTGTAGTTGTTAAAAATATAAAAGAGAGAAGAAAAGAAGTAAAATTTTCCTCAGGCTGTTAAATATCTAATTGTGAAGGTAAGCCCTACTGTTTCAAATTGATTTGTGTTACTTTCTGATTTTATCTATAGCCTATATTCTTCTTGATCATCCAAAAAGATCTCAACTTACAGGGACCCGAGAGGTCACAAAGCAGAGCTGTTCCACAGCATTTTCAAGGACATAATCTTATTGGCAGCAGCTTACCATCACATGTGGTAATGAAAGGGGTCTGTGTTAATTAAAATTAACTTGGAAATACCATCACCAGGCACATTTTAATAGCCTGAGAATAGAAAGAATAAATTGACCAAGTACTTACCCTACTATGCTGAGTGTCTGAACTCCACAGATAAGGGCACGCGCCAGCACAGAAGTTAGCATTGTACCCTTTAGGTTCATGTATCCATTTCCACCCAAGATCCCTCTTGAAATCAATATAAAGTGGACGTAGGCAGCAATTATCCTGCACATTCCTGTAAAAAGAAAAAGCAATGGAGATTTTAAGGCTGGTTTCCCCCTCCACTCCTAACTAGACAAACAACTTGTTATTTTATTCAACCAACATCTAAAAAGCATACATTATGAATCAAGTTTTTAAGTATTTGATTGTAATCTCAAGTGCTTTCATGCTGGACTGAACTGTCCTCATTCATGAGCTCTATGCCTCAGTTTCTTTGAGACCTCAAAAGTCAGTACCTGAGAGATAGCTGGAAGAGAACTAGCCCTTTTCAATCAACACTGGCCAGTTTTGCTATCATGTTTCTATTATCCCTTCAAATAAAAAAAATGAATTAAGTACAATAGCTATATTCAAAGACCCATCTCAAGCATTTTTGTTTGAAACTAAATTCTTATTTTGTCTTCCTTTCCTTGACCTAGAAATGAATGAGAGATCAGGAAAGCTTGGCCTGTTGCTGAATGCAAACACTGGAAACTAAAAAAGGCCATTACACTCTTGAACCCTGACATCTTAGACACTTGATCAAGTGATGATCCCTTACTGCCCTACATCAATTTCCACTGAACCAACTGTAACTCATGATGACCCCATGTGTATCAGAATAGAGCTGTACTCTCCAGGGTCTTTAATGGCTCATTTCCCAAAAGCATATCATCAGACTTTTCTTCAGAGGTACATCTAGACGGACCTGACCTTCCGACCTTTAGGTTAGCAGCCTGTTGTGTTAACCATCCAGACACTCCCACTATCCTAATACTTCTCAAAATAAAGAATCTTCCTGTTGCCAAACTCAGCAAGAAACCATGGAAAAACAGTCCTATTTCCCCACCATGCATGTACATTGAAATGGGAAAGGAATTCTTTTTTTAGCTTTGCTTTTCATTTCTCTCTTATTCTCTTCTACTACTGAGGAAGGAGTATGACTGGGGTTCTGAAGAGGGTAAGTCTTCATACACCTTCCCTATGGAGCTGTCATTAAGCATTTCACAGAAACGTCTATTGGCTCTGGGACAGCAGACAGCTCATTTTCTTCTTCAGCTAGAAGATTCAGGGGGAAAAAAACTCAAGGAACCAGAGTTGTATGTGTATTCTGCTTTCTGCTTTGTTTTTTCCTCTCACACTTAGGTTATTGTTAAAGAGCTGATGAATTATTGGTTTGAGTTGCCATAAAGTTAAATCTGACTCATGGCAACCCCTGTTTCACAGAATAGAACTGTTTTCAAGAAGGTCATAATGTCAATGGAAGTGAGGAGATCACCAGCTGGGTGAGTTTGAACTAGGAACCCTTCAGTTAATAGTGGGGTGCAAATTATTGGTGCCATTCAGGGATCGTAAAGAGCTGATGGTTCTTACAGAGACTTAACTGTTTTAAGCCACTAGGAGGTACAACACAATATGACAGTTATCCTGTACTACACATAGCTTTAACCAATGAGTTCCACCCAGGCCAATACATAACAAAAGAAAAGGCAAAGGCAGTTAAAGAGTTATCAAACACAATTTCTGTGTTTTGTTTTTATTTTCTTTACCTAAAGCAATAGGCGGCATCCAAGGCACGCTTCTTCCGCCGGTTGGACTGTTGTGACTCAAGTCTGTAGGAGGGCAATAACATTAGCAGGAGATGTGGGGTCTTCCCACTGTTTTTTTTCCTAGTGGACTTTATAGTTTTCTGATCACCACTGGTATATGTGGAGGTGCCATCAATACCTTGAAAAAATGCATTTGGGTAATAAACATTTAGCTTTATCTTCATCAAATATCATGAGCTATATTTTTTTCTTTCGCATATTGTCACAAATAGCAGTGATGACCACCACAGCAGCATCAGCTGGCTATAGTCATTCCCCCCACAGAAGCAGACAGGGCACAAGACAATCTACACGTCTTAATGGGGCTCTTTTCAGAAGGAAGTTCAATGTCAAAATGAGAGCTTGTGGTTCGCAAAGTCATTGCAGGTTAAGCCTTTGACCTATAGTCAGGGCAATCTTGTCAAATTGTTTTCTGGTTGATTTGGACACAAGGTGAAAGGCAACTTAGGCAGTTTATTTCAGCCAATCCCCAGGTTAGACTGTGTTTACTCCCTCAGTGACTAACTCCACAGTAATAGAACATGCCTTGTCACTCTGCTGGTTCACACTCTGACCGAGACTCCTAAATTCAAAAGACTTCACCAATGAACATAAACTGAGATGTCCATTAAATTGCAATGAATTGGGTTCAAGTGAAACAGAAGTCACCCTCACCTGAGTTTATTTTGTAAAGCGGTGAAGAAAGGGCTTTTTCATTTCTTTTATGGCATCCTCACCACTTTCCTGATTCCATCTAAAATTTAGAAACTTGAGCTCTCCAAAGCATGTCAAGAGACTGCCAGTTTAAGCATCTATTCTCCAAACACTGGAGGATCATGATGAGGATTGAGAATGAAATACATCTCTAGACTTCGGGGAGAATTTTTCCATACGCAAGAGCCACTGCAGTCTCCTGAAAATGGGTGGAGGTTTCTGATGATGTGAGTTAAGAGGAGGGAATACAGCTCCCCGACTTGCCAGTGCAAGGCTGATACTACACCAGCCACACGGCACTCTCCTCGTCACCCATCAGCCACTGAACTGTCAGCTGATCTGGGAAGTGACTTGAACACTTGGCAACTCCTTGACTTTTAGCGAATTCACTGAGTCCCAACCAAGAGGAGGGGAAACATCAATGTGAACCTTGATATATGTTTAAAAACTGTTCTAAAATCTGGTGAGGAAGCCAGCTGAAATACTGTGTACAAAGTTAAAACAGGTGGAATGTTCAAATATATGTGAATTATGCAAGCCGTAGTGAAAGAGGACTCCTTTAGTCTATGAAATAATACACTTTAGGTTTCCTGACACCTACTTAGGGGATTACTAAGGAGTGCCTCAAATGCACAGGTGTAAAGTTGGTTTGTTAAAATGAAGATAAAGGGCTTAACTACTATTTAATAACTTGGAGGGCAAATCAGTCAGTCGGTTAATATTGACCAGGTCATCCTCAGGCATCAGTCAGTAGAAGTAGCACGGTAGCAATCCCTTTTGTATAATCTTTCCTGCCCACCTCTTTCCCAACCACTTATTTACCAAACAAAAGAAACTCCTCAGGAATCCCCAACCTTTACTTTTCTCACATGCAAACTCACTTCATCTCCTCTAAGATTATAAACTTAGTATGTGCTTCTTCCTCTATCACCTTATATACCGAGTTTTAATTACCTGCAAATCTTGCTTCTAGTTCTTCGCTTTTATTTGGAATGATGTAATTGTTGGATGGTACAAAGGTACAGCACGGACAGTGCAAACTTATTTTAAATCCCAGATTCCTATCTGGAAAACATAAAGTCAAGGAGGTCATTGTTGTGTGTGTTTTATACAATAAATACTCAACAACTTAGGGTCACTGAACGTCCAGGGAGGGAAAGAGAGGAGTGGTGTGTAACCTTTATGGTGAAGCCATTCATGAACAGCATCAGTTACGTCAAAGGACAGCCATTCGCCTTCAGCTCGTGTTTTCACTACTTTGCTGTCAATGTAGCGCTGAGTTGGGGATGTTAGGTCTTTGGATTTCAGGATCTAGAAAGATAAAGAGCCAGGGGAAAAGTTCAGTTGGCATACTGACAGCATGACTAAACCCAAACCATTAACAGTATTCCCATTCATTATCTAAATTTAGCTCCCCTCTAGTCTTGTCTATGTATTGTCATCTCATGATCATGGCCGCATGCATAAAAAACATCACACGAGGCCATTTGCCTTGAAAAATAGAGCTACTAAATCAACAGTGTGTTATGATAGAGGTGACAGGAGCCATAAAGCCAAGTGTCTAAAAGAAAGAGACAGTAATTATTTTACTTTGCTCACATAAGCTTTGCAAGATTTCAGCCATAAATTTTATGCTATTAAGTTAAAGGTTTTGTTGTTCTGATTTTCTAGGCTGCTCATTTTCGGCGCTGAGAGTGTGGGAAGGAACAAGAGAGAAAGCCTGTATGGAGGACTCATGCTCACACTGCCCCCCACCCCCCAAGGCCATGAATTCAAAATTTCCTAATAAAGAGAGAACAGACCTATAACCGTGGTTTCTAAACCTCATGACATTAAAATACTTTCCACGCCTCTGCTTTTGAGGTAAGTCTCTAGCTGTGCTTTTCACTCTCAACAGGGCTTGCTAGGATTTAAAAAGATATTCCATATCCCACAGACCAAGAATGTATTTGGACAGAAACAGTCTGGCATGAGGTGCAGGTGAGAGTCTGAAAGGAAATCAGCCTGAACATTGAAAACTTCAGAAGGATGCATTAATTGCGCTGTGTAAAAAGCTACTGGTTATCTTCTTGAGTTTATACAGAAGGTGAACATTCTAGGTTTGGTTTGGTTTTTTTGTTTTTAATTTTGTCTTTAAGCAACAGTGTTTTATGAATCTATCGCATCACAGTAGTAAGTCTCTTTGAGCAGCATTAAACCCTTGCCTCTCCCCAGTATACCAGGGTTCAAGCCCTACTGCTTTATATTTCCCTTCATGCTATTCAGTTTAATTGTTCTGAGGTTTTTTTCATGCATATGAATTTAGTCTCCCAACTTCCTCAGGGCAATGATTTTTCTTCAATGTAATACCAAATCAAAGTGCAGCAACTCTACTTAATCAATGTCTATTAAAAGACTTTCTGAACATAAAGAAGATTTATTAACTCTCCTTAAAGCCCTGTAAGACAAAAAAATCTCTAATCTTTCCAGTGACTTTTAAAATGCTCCACTTTCCATTCTTGATTTGTTTCAGGTAATTTGGCAACAAATGCTTCCAGGAATATTTGGCACCAGAGTAGATTTTTTTTAGATTAAGGAAGTTTGAGAAAGGAAGGAGAGTCACACAATTGTACTCTGGGTTTGCCCTGGTAGGCTTTAGACAAACTCTAACATTTACAAGGACCTCACCTGAGGGACTACATAGGAATCAGACTGACTACTCTGTGGAAAATGTCTATGAAGAAGTAAAAACAAGGCCAGGGCTGACTACAGAACAAATCATCAATTACCCATGTGCAAGTTCAAACTGAAGTTGAAGAAAATTAAAATAAGTCCAGAGGAACCAAAATGCAACCTTAAGTCTACTCCACCTGAATTCAGACACTATCTCAAGAACAGATTTAATGCACTGAACACTAATTATCAGAGACCTGATAAGTTCTAAAATGTCATTAACAATTTTGTCCAAGAAGCAAGCAAAAAGTCATTACAATGAGAGAGGTGAAAGAAAATACCAAAGTAGATGTCAGAAAAGACTCTTAAAATTGCACTCAAACATGCATATGTCAAAACAAAGGGAAAACATAATGAACTAAAAGAGCTGAACTGAACATTTCAAAGGGTAGCAGGAGAAGATAAAACAACATATTATAATAAAAGGCTCAAGGAGCTGGATTTAGGAAATCAAAAGGTAAGACTATGCTTGGCATTTCTCAAGCTAAAAGAAATAAAAACCAAATTCAGGCCTCAAGTTGCAAAACTGAAGGTTGCTGTGGACAAAACCTGGAATGATGCAGGAAACATTATTTTTTTTTAAAAAGGTCAAGGTAATAAAGTCATTGCACAGAAAGATTTAATTGACAAAGAACTATTTAAGAAAATAGTATATGATGAAAAAAATAATAGAAAAGTAAGTTCACGCTTCACTGAAGACATTGGTAAAAAATAATGTCCCGGGAATTGATGGAATACCAACAGACATGTGTCAACAAACAAATACATGCTCCTTAGCCTGTACCAAGAAATGTGGATGGCAGCAATGTGGCCACCTAACTGGAAAATTGCTGTATTTGTTTGCATTCTCAAAAATGGTGAATCAAAAGAATGTAGAAGTTATAGAACAATATCATTACTATCACATAGAAGTAAAATCTTGCTGAAGATTATTTAAAAATTGCTATAACTGTACATTAGCAGGAAACTATCAGAAATTCAAGCTGGGTTCATATAAAGCTGTGGCTCAAGACATACCTGGTGATGTCAGATGGATCTTTACTCAAAGCACAGAATACCAAATATGTTTATTGTATTTTATTGACTAGGTAAAGGCATTTGACTTTGTGACCCATAACAGATTTTAGCTTACACTTAAAAGGATGGAAATCCTTGAACACTGAACTGTGCTCCTGAGAAACCTATTCTTAGACCAAGAACTTGGAGTTTAAACAGAACAAGGGAACATTGCATGGTTTAAAATCAGTAAAAGTGTGTGTTACAGTTGTACCCTTTCTCCATATCTATCCAATCTGTATGCTAAGCAAATTACTCAAGAAGCTATGTCAATAGAAATGTGGCACCAGGGTTGGAGGAAACTCCTCAACAAACTGTGTTACACAGATGACACGTCCTTGCCTGCTGCAAGTGAAGAGTTTTAAATACTTGCTCCAGAAGATCAAAGACTACAGCCTTCATATGGATTATATCTCAAGATCAAGAAATCAAAAAACCAACAAGCAACATCATGACAGAAAGAGAAAACACCGATGCTGTCAATGATTTTATTTTGCTTAGATCCAAAATCAACATCCATAGGAACAGCAGTCAAGAAATCAAGACATGTTGCATTGAGAAAATTGGCTGACAAGTAACTCTCCAAAGTGTTTAAGAGCAAAAATTTCAGATTAAAATCCCTATGCACATCCAAAAATTTCTTCAACAGGGTAAAAGGGGAAACCACAGACTGGGAAAAAGTGTTTGGTAATGACATTTCAGATAAGGGACTTACATCTAGAATTTATAAAATACTTGAGCACCACAACAAGGTAAAGGTAAATAATCCAATAGAAAAATGGGCACAGGATATGAACAGACACTTCACAAAAGAAGACATTCAGATGGCCAACAAGCATATGAAGAAATATTCAAAATCCCTAGCCCTGAGAGAGATGCAAATCAAAACAACTATGAGATATCATCTCACCCCAGTAAGAATAGCAAAATTTAACAGAACA